TGCTGAGGACGGAGCGGTCCTCCTCCTCCTCCTCCTCCTCCTCCTTCCTCCTCCTCCTCCCCTCCTCTCCTTCCTCCTCCTCCCTCCTACCCTCCTCTCTCCTCTCCTCTCTCCCCTCATCCTCTCTCCTCTCCTCTCCTTCGCTACCTCCTCTCCTCCATCCTCCTCCCCTCCTCCTTCCTCCTCCTCCTCTCTATCCTCCTCCTCTCCTCTCCTCCTCCTCCTCCTCCTCCTCCTCCCCTCCTCCTCCTCCTCCTTCCTCCTCCTTCTCCTCCTCCTCCTCCTCCTCCTCCTCCTCCCTCCTTCCTCCCTCCTCCTTCCTCCCCCTCCTCCTCCTCCTCCTCCTCCTTCTCCTCCTCCCCCCTCGTGCTCCTCCCTCTTCCTTCTCCTTGTCCCACCTCGTCTAACCTCATTCTCCCTTCTCCCCTGCCTTGAATTTTTGTTCCTCTCTTCCTAGGCAACGCCTAAACTACCACACTCCGCCGAACTCCTCCTCCTCCTCCTCCTCCTCCTCCTCCGTCTCCTTCTCCTCCTCCTCCCCCGTGCCCCCGGGCGGGCACCGCACACGGAAGCCCAGAAAAGCAAGCGGTGGCGAAGCGTCCAGGCTCGCCTATGGGCCCACCCGAGATTGTTCTGAGAACCTCGTGCCTCTGCGCGACATGTTCTCAGAACAGTTTTTGTTCGGACGGTCTTGTTTTAACACTTCGGGTTTCTGTTCTGATAACGTTGTTTTTGTTATTGCAGCGTTTTGGGCTTCGAAGAACATGTCCTGGCAGGCCTATAGGAATGCCGGGACGGCCGGTCCCTACTTAAGATCGCCCGCAGCGTTGCGTGAGCATGATCATGACCCCCGCCGCAAAAAGTAATTCAGGAGGGGAAAAAACACAGACACAATTAATCGTCGATTCCTAGAAAATATGGGAAAATATGGGAAGTGGGGGGAAGACAGAAACCCAGAACTTATGAGGAAATATGGGGAATCTTCTTATTTGTGTGTATTTATTTATGTGTCCCAAGGCCCCTTCAGTAATGGACACACCCCAGTGGATTACTCCTGGGCCGCAGGGGAGGGTGGCGATATTACACCGTCACCCTCCCTGAGGGCACAGGGAGAACTCGTTGGCGGGTACACACAGCCAGATGTTGCTGAGAAGAACCCCTTGCGGAAACGTTCGGGGTCCAGACAGGAACATATTTTTTGGACAACTGTTAGTAGCGAAAACAGGCTGATCTTCGAACTGGAGCGTTTCGCATGAGACATCCTCACACATCATGATGAGGCGTATTCATGGTGAAATGATCGATCTGATGATCAGAGTTACGATAGGAACTTGGGGGATAATGAAGTAAGCCACCTTGGTGCAGACCCCGCGGAGGTGGACTTAGTGATTCAAGCAGATGGCCGTTTGTGGTCTTGAAGTATAGTTTGCATCTTTCATGCGTAGCTATACCGAAATCAAATTGGCTCGGGAAAGCCACAGTGCTCTGTGGAATCCATGTATTGTTCCAGCCAGCTCTGCAGAAACGTCGAGCAGCGTGGAAGAATAATCAGGGCTTGGGCGGGGGAGGGGCGGGCGAGGGGGACGTTCCTGGGTGTTTGGTGGAGTTCAACATTTGCGTGGAAAGAGGGTCCAGCGACAAGGGGGTGGTGCAATAGATTTGGCGCAATAGATTTGTGGGGTTGCAATACATTTGGGGCGTTCAATACATTCCGGGGCGCAAATGTATTGCTGGCTTTCCGCGTGCAAGACATTCGTCGCAATACAATGCAGTACAATTCTCCGGCACAATACGTTTGCAATACAATTGCCCCAAATCTATTGCACCACCCCCTCGCAGTTGGACCCCCTTTTGGGTCGCCCACCTGTCTTCGCGGCAGCATGCTTTGAAAACTGCGCACAGAATTCGAATGCGATGAGGTGCGTGCGCAGCCGCGCGGGATTGGCGGCCGAGCTCTCTCGACGAGGCTAAAGTGTGTTCGTGTGCAGTCAAAGGGGCATCATCGCTGCACGGCGTCTCCAAAGACGTGGTGGCATCAGCATTCTCCGCATCTCCTAGAACGAGCGCTTAGTGTCTATAGTTGCTGCTGGACAGGTCTCGCGGTTTTCAGCTCGTATGCACAGCACGACAGAAAGAGGTGGGAGCATGCGCGAGCGCGGAGTAGTTCAAGCTCAACTCTGCTCGGATTGCCTTCAGACCGCGAACGCGCCGCCAAATGTGACGTGCTGCCTCATATTCGGAGGTTGATCGACCTCCTACCCTGACGTGTCGATTAGCGCATTGGCCGTTTTCGGTTCGCGAGAGGGTATCGCGGCCGTCACTCCTGCGGGTCCAGGTCCGTCGGTTTCGGTCCCAGGCCGTGGTCACTACAGGGAGGTTTGCTGAAGGGAGGTTTTCCCACCGCCGACAGACGACGGCGGCGCACAGTCTGTGGCCCGGGGAGGCAGAGAGCAGGAGATGGCTACCTTCAGGGGGAAAAAAACACACACAGACACAATGAATCGTCGATGCCCAGGAGAATATGGGGAAACTATGGGAAGTGGGGGGGAAGACAAAGTCCCAGAAGGTACTGGAAACTATGGGGAATCCTTGCATTTGCGTGTGTGTGTTTATTTCTGTGTCTCAGGGCCCCTGCATACCTCCCTGCCGATGCGAGTGGCGACGTGTGTTCTCCTGCCGCGGCGCAGCCCTGGCTGCGGTGGCTGCGCCCAGGGGGTCGGGGAGGGACCTGGGCCTCGGAGCAGGGGGCGGCGCCCGCGAGGCAGCCACGGGGCGGGGGCTCTCTGCAGGAGGCTCCTCGACAGTCTCACACCACAAGTGACGAACGAACAACACACCCCCATACCCATAGGGAGGTCGTTGGGAGAAGGACTGGCTATGGGTATGGGTGCGGGTTGTCGGACCCTGGGGACCGCTCCCGTTCGAGCGGGGACCCCCATTCGACAACACGCACCCATAGCCCTCTCCGATCCCCCTATGGGTATGTGTGTGTGTTGTTGGTTCGTCAAGCACTACGATTTCTACGAGACGACGTGGCTACATCATGAGAAAACAGATGAGTGAGGGCTGTCGGGAAATCAGCTCTTGAAGCACGCATTGTCCTGAGCAGACCCCTGACGCGCGCAGCTTCTCATGCGAGGCCATGGCCTCACCAGGCTCGCCCTTAAGGGGCCCGGGCGCATGCCCGCACAGGCGTTCCGTTTCCGATTCCGTTTCCGTTTCCTCGACAGCCATAGACGCCATAGACGGCACAAATTGTTGCCGTTCCGCCCGGATCTTTGGGATCCGCGCGGGGGCCCCCTGGCGGCGCTTCCGGCGCCGCCCCTGGCGCGCTTCGCGCGCCAGGGAGGGGTTTCCAGCGCGGATCCAAGAAATGCGCGCGGACCGGCGAGAGTTCATGTTTATGCCGTTTTTTGTTCCCCAAGCCCAAGGAGCAGTCTCCAAACCGAGGACACGCAGACATGGACTTAGGCGCGCGGATTTAGCGATGGGCCTCGCTTCCATATGCAATATCTGCGCGTTCCTTCCCCTAAGTCAGGCGGCACTGGCTCTACGGTTCGGAGACAGTTTCCACGATCAGTGGATCTAGCGCCCATGCGACAGTTTTTTTGCTAATTTTTCCAGCCATGGCGACCTCAGCACAACTTCTTCGTGCTCGTCGCAGCTCTTGCTGTTGTTCCGACCCTGGCCAATTCCACTCTGACGGATTTCCCACTTCCCACTTTTGCCCAGCCTCATTGTCATCCATACCAGCGCGTGCCCGACAAGAGCGGTCGCAGCACCACCCCTCCTCGTCTTGCTGCGACAGTCTCGCGGTGGAAACGGTCTTCACCACCCACCAAACCACCCCAACCCAACCCGAAGCCCTCAATTTGCCCTCCATTTCCAGTGTAGGGGGGTCGGGAAACGTTGAAAAAACACATGTGACCCGTACCCCCCCCAACCCGAAATTGGGGTCAAATTCGGGTCTTCGGGTTGGGTTGGGGTGGTCTGGTAGGTAGTCAGGTCTGCGCCGAAGCTGGCCTCGCTGAAGGTTCCTTCGGTCCGCCCGAACCGCGGCTGGCAGCAGTGCGCGATCGATCTGCAGAAGCACGATCGATCGCGCGCGACCCCGCTCCCGCGGCTCCTGCCAGGCCGTCTCGGGGGCTCCGGTGAGCGGGGCGCACGGCTCGTCCTCCTCCCCCTTCTGCTCACGCCTGCTGGAGCCCTTGAGACTGCCCGCTCCTGACGCGGTCCTCCTCCTCCTCCTCCTCCTCCTCCTCCTCCTCCTCCTCCTCCTTCCTCCTCCTCCTCCTCCTCCTCCTCCTCCTCCTCCCTCCTCCTCCTCCTCCTCCTACTCCTCTCCTCCTCCTCCTCCTCCTCCTCCTCCTCTCCTCCTCCTCCTCCTCCTCCTCCTCCTCCTCCTCCTCCTCCTCCTTCCCCCCCCCCCCCCGCGATCGTGGCGCCCCCCCGGGTCCCACCAGAGGGGACGCACCCCGGCGCGCAGGAGGATGCAGCACGCCGAGATCTTCGCGGATGGGGAGGGTGGCGAGGCCGCTGATGCACGCGACGCGGGGGTGTGAAGACTGGCAGAGGAAGGGAAGGAGGAGGAGGAGGAGGAGGAGGAGGAGGAGGAGGAGGAGGAGGAGGAGGAGGAGGAGGGGGAGGGGGAAGGGGAGGGGGAGGGATGGATGGAACAATTAGTTCTCCAGGAAACGGGTTAGTTCTCCGTGTGGAAAGAACAACATGCCGGGTCGGTTGGTTTTCCAGGTCAGACCCTCACAGGTTTTCTGCTCTCTTCCTTCCCAACCACAATCCTGTGATGTTAGGCCCTCGTTTTGAAGAGACGGCGCCCCGCATGTCACTGTTTCGGTACACCCCTCACACGCTTCGTGGTCCCATAGAGGCTCCACCTAAGGTCCCAGTGGCGCAGGTCTTATGGCGCCGCCGCCCCATTTTGGCACACACCTCTCACTCGTTTCGTGGCCCCACAGGGAGCTCCACCTAAGGTCGCAGTGGCGCAGTTCGCATGGCGCCGCCGCCGCATTCTGGCACACCCTTCACACGTTTCGTGGCCCCATAGGGAGCTCCACCTAAGGTCTCAGTGGCGCAGTTCGAAAGGCGCATCCGCCCCATTTTGGTACACCCCTCACTCGTTCCGTGGCCCCATAGGGAGCTCCACCTAAGGTCGCAGTGGCGCAGTTCGCATGACGCCGCCGCCCCACTTTAGCACACCCTTCACACGTTTCGTGGCCCCATAGGGAGCTCCACCTAAGGTAGCAGTGGCGCAGTTCGCATGGCGCCGCCGCCCCATTCTGGGACACCCCTCACTCGTTTCGTGGCCCCATAGGGAGCTCCACCGAAGGTCCCAGTGGCGCAGTTCGCATGGTGCCGCGCCCCGTTTTGGCACACCCTTCACACGTTTCGTGGCCCTTTAGGGAGCTCGACCGAAGGTCTCAGTGTCGCATGGTGCCGCCGCCCCATTCTGGCACACCCTTCACACGTTTCGTGGCCCAATAAGGAGCTCCACCTATGGCCCCAGTGGCGCAGTTCGCATGGCGCCGCCGCCACATGTTGGTACACCCCTCACTCGTTCCGTGGCCCCATAGGGAGCTCCACCGAAGGTCGCAGTGGCGCAGTTCGCCTGGCGCCGCCGCCCCATTTTGGCACACCCCTCACACGTTTCGTGGCCCACTAAGGAGCCCCAATTCAGGTCCCAGTGGCCCAGTTCGCATGGCGCCGCCGCCCCATTCTGGCACACCCCTCACACGCTTCGTGGCCCCATAGGGAGCTCCACCGAAAGTCCCACTGGCGCAGTTTGCATGGCGCCGCCGCCGCATTTTGGCACACCTTCCACACGTTTCGTGGCCCCATAGGGAGCTCCACCGAAGGTCCCATTGGCGCAGTTCGCACGGCGCCGCCGCCCCACTTTGGCGCACCCCTCACACGGTTCGTGGCCCTATTGGGAGTTTCACCGAAGGCCCCAGTGGCAGGGTTCGCATGGCGGCCCCGCCCCATTGTGGCGCACCCCTCAGACGGCTCGTGGCCACATTTGGAGTTCTCCTTGCTTCGTCCCACCTGCCTTGCAGCATTCACACTTGCATATGGTTGGGTCCTTCGCCAGGATAATGTTGTTCATTCTCTCTCTCTCTCTCCCTCTTTCTCTCTATGTATATCCTTTTGCAAAAAAAAAAAACAACCAAAACCCAGACAACAACCCCCAACTCCCAAAAACACACCCCCAACCCCAACTACCAAACCCCAAACCCCAAACACCAAACACCGAACCCCAAACACCAACCACCAAACTCCAACCACCAAACTCCAAACCCCAAACCCCAAACCCCAAACACCAAACACCGAACACCAAACACCAAGCCTCAAACACCAAACACCAAACCCAAAACCCCACACCTGGTGGACGGGAGTCCTCGGGCACGCTTGGGCGCCGGTTGGGCCGTTTAGGGGCCGTCTCGGAGCCATCTTGGGGGCCTCTCGCCCCGTCTAGGGGCGATCTGTTGGGCCCTTACGCGCTGTCAGGGCCGAGAAGGCGAACACGCTAGCCATCTGCTCTTGCCCAAGGAGCTGGGACGATCTTTGCCTCTTTGCCCTACGGCTAATAGTTCTATTGATACGACTAGTGCAACAACTTTTTTATCATCCTTATTACTACCACTGCTACCCCTGCTGCTGCTACTACGACTACTACTAATACTACTACTAACGCTACTACTACCACCACTACTACTACTACTACTACTACGACTACTACTACTACGACGACTACTACTACTACTACTACTACTACTATGGCTACTACTACTACTACAACTACCACTACTACTACTACTACTACTACGACTTCTACTACTACTACTACTACTACTACTACTACTACTACGACTACGACTACGACTACTACTACTACTACTACTACTACCACCACTGCTACTACTACTACTACTACTACTACTAGTACTACGACCACTATTACGACTACTGCGGCTTCCCGTGCTATTCCGATTACGACTGCTACAACTACTACTATTGCTACGACGGCCTACTTCTAATATTCTTACTACTACTACGACTACGACTACGACTACTACTACGACTTCTACTACTACGACCACTACTACTACTACTACGCTTACTACGACGACTACTACTACGACTACTACTACTACTTCTACTACTACTTTTACTACTACAACTACTACTACTACTACTACTACTACTACTACTACTAAGACTACTATTACTACTACTACTACATCGGCTACGACTACTACTACGACTTCTTCTAGTACTATTACGACCCCTACTACTACAACTGCTATTGCGACTGTTATCGTTATTACTACTACTAATAATAAAACTACCGCTACTGCTATTGCTACTTCTACTACAACGGCTACTACTACTACTACTACTACGACTACTACGACAACTACTACTACGACTACCACTACTACTATTGCTTTTACTATCACTACTACTGCTACAACGGCTACTGCGACTACTGCTACAAATACTCCGGCTGCTACCATCACCACTATTACAACGATTACTGCTACTATTTTTAATATTACTACGACTACTACGACTACTACTCGTACTAGTAATAGTAATACCACTACGAATACTAGCTCTACTGCTGCTACTACTACTTTTATTTTTACTACTACCACTACTACGGCTACCAATACTATTACTACTACCCTCGCTATACAGCTACGGCTACCACTACACACTTCCACTACTACGGCTACTGCTTCTCCGACCATTGTTATTACTACTGCCGCTACTATCGCTACGATTGCGGCTACTATTATTTATGTCACTGCAGGTCTCACGGTTATGTGACTACTACCTACTACTACTACTACTACTACTACTACTACTACTACTACTACTACTACTACTACTACTACTACTACTACTACTACTACTACTACTACTACTACTACTACTACTACTACTACTACTACTACTACTACTACTACTACCACTACCCGACTACGACTATTAATACCATCGCTACAGCCACTACTACTAACACGACCTACTGCGCTACTACAACAACTACTATTGCGTACCTGGTAGTACTGGGACTACGACCACCACCGCGACTAATTCATTATTGTAACTACTAACGGCGCGATTATGATTAGTGCTGCCACAAATGCTACAACCATTGTCACTGTTACTACCACGACTGCTTTCACTTGTTGTGCATCCTTCTTTGTGTTTTGAACTACAAGAGCTACCGCGACGACGGCGACGAGTACGATTACTATGTGTATACGTGGCGCATACGCCTGCGCAAACGTTTCGCATGGGTATCGTTCCTCTTTCGTGTCTTGTGCGTATCCGTGTCGTATACGTTTCGTATGCGTGTTGTGGGGGTGTTGTTCACACGTTTGATATACGTGTCGTTTGTTGGTCGCACACAGTCCGCGCAGTTGCCGCATACGTTGCGGGTACGCGTTGTCTGAATGTACGGCACGCGTGTCGCACAGTGGTCGTGAAAGCTGCGTGCTTGGTTTGTGCAGGTTTTACGTGCGTGTCGGAATTGCTTCGTGTATGTTTCTTATGCGTGTTTTAGATATCCCGTGTTTATTGCGCAGACATTGTGGTGTACGTGTTGTATGTTGCCGTCTATGTTCCGCATCGTTGGCGGACGCGTCGAATATGTTCGGTATGTGTCTCGTATACGGCTTTGTACGTTTCAACGTGTTCCGGATAGTTTCCATGCTGTTGTTTCTACTATCGCACCAGCAATTGTTAGTATCATTTTTGCCACGACCACGTTCATTTATTATGTGTGATTGTTGCTGCTACTTCTATGTTTATTTGCATTACTTATGCGGATTATTCGGCTACTGTTCGTACCGAGCGTACTCATACTGTTACTGCTACGAATGCCACCTTCACTGCTGCTACTACCACCTATTTATACTCCTCTTACTTTCTATTCCCACGTCCGCCCCCCGACCACGACGATTGAAACGACCACCATTATTACTACTACTATTACTATTACTACTACTACTTCTACTTCTACTACTACTACTACTACTACTACTCAGACTACTACTACTACTACTACTACTACTACTATTACTACTATTTCTACTACTACTACTACTACTACTACTACGACTACTACTACTACTACGACGACTACTACTACCAGTACTACTAGTATTACCACTACTACTACTACTACTACTACTACTACTACTACTACGACTACTACTACTACTACTACGACTACTGCTACCCCTACCACTACCACTACCACTACCACTGCTACTACGACTACTATTATGATTCTCTGCTACGCTTATATTTACCATTACCACGACTACGAACACCACCACTACGATTATTATTGCTTCTACTGTTGCTATGCGTAAACCGACTGCTGCTAGAACTACGACTACCACAACCACTACTGCTACAATGACTACCGGTGCGATTGTTTCTCTTATTGTGTCCACAGCACTACTACTACGAGTACTACCACTACTACCACTACTACTACTAC